CTCCAAGAACCTCCAGTTGTTGACCCCCAACTCCAAGAACCTCCAGTTGTTGACCCCAACTCCAAAAACCCCTGGTTGTTGACCCCAAAACCAAGAACCTCCAGTTGTTGACCCCAACTCCAAAAACCCCTGGTTGTTGACCCCAAAACCAAGAACCTCCAGTTGTTGACCCCAACTCCAAAAACCCCCGGTTGTTGACCCCAAAACCAAGAACCTCCGGTTGTTGACCCCAACTCCAAGAACCTCCGGTTGTTGACCCCAAAACCAAGAACCTCCGGTTGTTGACCCCAACTCCAAGAACCTCCAGTTGTTGACCCCAAAACCAAGAACCTCCGGTTGTTGACCCCAACTCCAAGAACCTCCAGTTGTTGACCCCAAAACCAAGAACCTCCAGTTGTTTTGTTTTTTGATTTTTTATTTATTGTAATTTTTAACATTTTTTAATGTGTTATTTATTTATTTATTTTTGTTTTATTTATTGTTTTGTTGGGGGTGGGGTGGGGGGTTAACCTCTGGCTGATCCCCAAGATCCTCCGGTTGGGTTATTGATCTGAAGTGTCTTCTTTGAGTTCTGAAACAAAAAGATGTGGGCATATCAGACAGATCTCATGGACCTGGTCCTTCGTGTCAGTACTCAGTCACAGGAGGGTTAATGTGGATCAGATGATGGTATTAATCCAATTAGTGGTTCTGGATCTCAGTTCCATGTTAGGACCCAGTGTTAGTGTCCTCTCGTGGTACTAACGATTGATGCAGTGCATGTTGAGCACGGCGTACGCTCTCTTTCTGGCCTCTTTAATGTACGTCTGCATGAACTCCCGTCCAAACATTTCCCTGTCTTCTTCGTCTTCATTGTCCTCCGTCAGAGTCTTCCTCGGAGGCAGACTGACATCCAGAGTTAGAGGATTGTCTCGAAAATTCACAAACCTGCTCCAAAGAAAAATCACACATCCACAAAAGAACATGAGAAGTCTTTGTGGACAAACAGACCTAAGAGACACACAGTCCTGGTAAGAGTCTGCCTTCTTTCAGCTCCAGGGATATGAATCATTTTAGAACCAGTAAGACCACATCAGTTTAATGTCACGAGATGTAAATCCTCTGGAACTGGAACAGGATGGACTTCACCAGGACTAAATGTTGGACTGACTAACCTGAGATTGGACATGTCTTCCATCAGTGATGGGATGTCTCTCAGCATGTTACTGCTGAGGACCAGCGTATCCAGATTCTTCATCCTGCTGATGTTCTCTGGAAGTCTCTCCAGCTGGTTCCTCTGCAGCCACAGCGTGTGAAGCTTCTCCATCCTGAGGACAACCATGTCTCACTGGTGATTGGATCCTGACAGAAGAGGGCGGAGCTCAGGTCTTCTTACCTACCTATGGATGTCTTCAGGTAAATTCTGCAAGCAGTTTCCACCCATGTCAAGCCACTCAAGTGCTGGCAGCGAAACCACACAGTCCAGCAGGGAGCTGAAGGCGTTCATAGACAGATCCAGGTGCTGGAGCTTCCTCAGGTTCCTCAGCTGGGTTCAGAGAACAAACAGACCTTAGACCAGACCTGAATGGTCCAGGTTCCCCAGGTTCCTCAGCTGGGTTCAGAGAACAAACCTGGCCTGGGTGTTAGAGGTTGTGTTTTTTTTTAGGTCTGGCTCAGTTTGGTTTTGAGATCTGATTCAGACCTGAACCAGATTTAGGTATTTTCTTTTACTGCTAGTAATCAGCCCAGTTCTGATCTGATCGGGATTTTTGGTTTAGGACTTGAAACTATGGGACTTATACCTGGTCTGGGAGGTCTTTCAGGTCCCTGTTCATGGCCAGGTCCAGCCTCTCCAGATTCTCACATCCACTCAGCTCTTCAGGAACTAATTGGATTCTGTTGTAGCTCAGCAGCAGCTCTCTGAGCTGGGTCAGCTTCCCTGAGACCAGAACCAGAACACAAGAAGTTTCAGGCACCAAGACTAAACTGAGATCTGTACCTGGATCTTTTAAATCCACTTCTCCAAATCTGAACCAGATAGAACTTGATTTTAGAAACTAAACTCACCAATCTGTCTCGGGATCTCAGCAATGCTATTACGAGACAGATCCAGGACTAAAAGGCTCTGGAAACTGGAAATGAATTGTGGGATTTTCAGTAGGCCAGTTCTGTGGATCTGCCACTCGTGGACCTGACAGAACTGGACCAGACATCCTGGAAAAGACTGAAGAAATGAAAATCCCATCAGGCAGTGGTTCTGGGTCAGGATCCCAGTCCACCCTCTGAGAGAGGACGTTACCTTCCACTCTTCATGTTCGATTCGGAGGACAAGTCTTCCATCCTCAGTCTGAACCTTCTTCCTCAGGCGAGCCAGAACTGCACGGTCCTCCCAGGCCCAGATGCTGAGTCTGAACCCAAAAAGACCAAATACAAAAAATATCTTTTTGTCACAAGTTCCCAATTTCCCATTTTGGAGTCACAAGTTTCCACTGTRAAGTTCACAAGTTCCCACTGTGGAGTCACAGGGTCCCACTGTCAAGTACTGGTTAACCAGTCTGAGGTCTATTAATAAACTGTACTGGTTAACCAGTCTGAGGTCTGGTAATAAACTAGACTGGTTAACCAGTCTGAGGACACATAATAAACTGGACTGGTTAACCAGTATGAGGTCTATTAATAAACCGGACTGGTTAACCAGTATGAGGTCTATTAATAAACCGGACTGGTTAACCAGTCTGAGGTCTATTAATAAACCGGACTGGTTAACCAGTCTGAGGTCTATTAATAAACCGGACTGGTTAACCAGTCTGAGGTCTGGTAATGAACCAGAATGATTAACCAGTCTGAGGTCTGGTAATGAACCAGACTGGTTAACCAGTCTGGGGTCTGGTAATGAACCAGACTGGTTAACCAGTCTGGGGTCTGGTAATGAACCAGACTGGTTAACCAGTCTGGGGTCTGGTAATGAACCAGAATGATTAACCAGTCTGAGGTCTGGTAATGAACCGGACTGGTTACCCAGTCTGAGGTCTGGTAATGAACCAGAATGATTAACCAGTCTGAGGTCTGGTAATGAACCAGACTGGTTAACCAGTCTGAGGTCTGGTAATGAACCAGACTGGTTAACCAGTCTGGGGTCTGGTAATGAACCAGACTGGTTACCCAGTCTGAGGTCTGGTAATGAACCAGACTGGTTAACCAGTCAGAGGTCTGGTAATGAACCGGACTGGTTAACCAGTCTGAGGTCTGGTAATGAACCGGACTGGTTACCCAGTCTGAGGTCTGGTAATGAACCAGAAT